TTTAAAACCACGATGGCGGGCATTTGACCCAATGAATAGGGGGAAATGTTTATTACAATTTGTTGTTTCATAAGGTGTCACATAACTTATAATTTAGGCACATGTCATTAACTTTCGTTTTTGATTCCGAGTTGTTTTCTTTTCCGTGGACCCGAACAAATATACTGGGCAGTAAGCAGCCGCCACAAGAGGTCATGGTAAACGATGATGTGGGAATCCATATTAACGCATTATTTCATTAAAACAAATCCTAATAATTGGCAACAGACATAAGTATATATTCTATAACTATGTACTGTAAAATATGTCTTTTTTTCGCGATTTTAGCGAGAGAACTGATTCGCTAATTCAAGATGTCGCTAATGACTTTATTATCAATTCAAAATGGCCGCCAAACAAAGAAATCAACAATGACAAGAGAGATTCGCTAAATCAACATTTCGCTATTACGTCATTTTACCACAATTCGCTAAAATTGCATGCCGCTTTTTCAACATGTTTTACAGTATGTCAACATAAATATTGATGTGCTGAGAACATTGTACCATAGAAAGCAATGATAAATGGGTCAGTATTTACCATTTGTATGTTGCATGAACGTAAAATAGTTTGATTAGCATACATTGTTACATTGTGAACATTAAAATAAAGCCATATTGTAAAAGTCACGAAAATCTGATCTGATCATCTGGTATCCAAGTACGAATACCTTAAATGCAGGTTTTATGGAATGACCCGTCACGTTCTAACTAGAACTGTCATCAAATCAATATTGTTCTTTTCCATATTATTGATCTTCCTTATTGTATTGTTCCTGTTTCATTATTAATAGATATTCAGTGTGAACCAGGAATTCCATATTATGTGTTATTCCTGGAACTGGAAAACCAAGATCAGGGAAGACTGGAGCTTTCTGAATATGAACTCAGTATGGTAGGTTTCACGAACGCGACACCAAACATAAATTTAAATACGTGTCCAAATTAATTGGATTTCAGTTTACATAAATAAATGGCTGTTAATGTGTTTAATGTATGATTTTATTCACAGCACATCGTCCAAATGTACACCGTGTAAGATGTACACCGAGGTGATAACTAAAAATAGTTCCCGTTTTGGAGCTCTGCAAAACTACCACTGCGAAAATTAATCGTTTCATTAATTTGTTTTGCTTATTGCAGTTCGATCAGAATTTACGGCGTCGGGCGTTTGCGTACAACTCGTTCCGTTTGAAAGGAAGTATAGCGCCAGCTAGAGTCTACCTGGTGAAATCTGGAACATTTGATGCGCTACAGAAGTATCTGGTAGACAACACAACGGCTACGTTCAATCAGTATAAAGTGGCACGTGTACTGAAAAGAAAGACGGCAATCGATTTCATGATGAATAATGTATTGTAGTTTCAATTTTAGTTAGAAATTGTCGTCGATGTCGTGTACCATTGTGGCCAACCTTTGGCCGGAATTATCTTTGAATTGTTGAATTCTTAAAGCGGGAGGGTCGTCGCCTGCG